ATTGGCATATCAAAGATAGCCCAATCCAACACCTAGTGCAGTACCATAATCGGGTCTAGGGGTCAGGTGTAACTTTCCAGTTTTGCCCATCAGTCTCCAAGGTCCAGGGCAATACTAGAAATYTGGTCCGRTTCAAGGGTTCAAGTAATCCTACACTGCATGTGCCTTGGGTTTCACCCTGGCGGCTAAGACAAGCCACCCCAATAGTTGGCAGCACACCAGTGTCAGCCTTGGCAGGATAAATCTCCCCAGACTTGTCCAATGGCTGTGAACATTTAAAACCAACACAAGTCTCATTAGGTGTCCAGTTTTAAGGTCTTACACACAAAAGTATACCACACAACATGTACTTCATTTATTTACATTAAATATCAAAAGTACATCAAAACTGATTGAAGCTAAGGGCATACAAAAAACTGTCCAACAATATGTATATGCCATGTCATCATGGTTTGACCCCAGTTGAACCTCTGACCCATGAATCTCTCCCTTCTCTAGTTCTATGCCCAGTTCAATTTTCTAAACCTTGCTTCCAATGACAACTTCTGTAGACATTCCCAGTGCAAGTTGAGATGTGTATGTGGGGTGCTAATAGAAAAAAGGGAAATCCTTTTAGAAGTTGTTTCATGTTTGGATAGAAAGTCTGTGTTGAGATCTGCTATAAGACACATTGTTTTAAAAGGCTTAAGCCTTGAGGCGAGTCACATAGATTTTGCCTCAAGGCTTAAGCCTCACAACTTTGATGTAAGGCTTAAGTAGGGATGGCAACGGGGTGGGGACCATATTCCCTATTCTCGACCTCGATTCTGAAATTAATCTCCATCCCCATCCTCGATCCCCGCCAAGGATTAATAGGAATGAAAGTTATACTGCAATTCAATTTTTTAGTAAGCTTAGAGATAAACAACAAATTCGAAGCAAAGGTAGGAACATGAAGAACATACTTAAGGGAGAGATCCTTGTTGAGGTTTAGCTCCCCCATTCTAGAAATAGTGGAGAGAGAACCATCAATTACCCTCACCTTATCTTGGTCGGACAATAGATGATATGATGCAAAATAGAGAGGACATATGTATCATATTGTTAGTGGCTCCAAAATTAATTACCCAAGAGCTAGAATTTATAGGACTAGTAACACTATGAGTAGAGGTAGTGCCTATTTTGGCAAGGGAAGAGGATGCAAGGGGGATGTTCCTCAACTAGACCATGGCTTGGCTAAGGATTTCAAACCCAACCCCGATTGGGGATTCCTATTAATCCCCACCACAAACCTCAACCCCGGTCGAGGATTCCTATTACTCCCCGCCCCCGTCCTTGTCTTGCCAAAACAATCCCTTTCCCCACCAAGTCGGGTCCCCAACCCCATCGGGTTGAGGCATAAGCCTCAAGGTGTGAGGTGTAAAAGGGCATAGGCCTCAAGTCTCAACGATTATTTAGTGATTTAATTCTAAAAAAGTATACATTTTATTATTTAAAATATATAGAAAAACACTTCAATAATTATAGGCCAAATAAAAAGTAAAACAAGAAAAACCAATAAGGCAAATCAAATTCTATTAGTTTTCTTATTGTTTTAGGAGAGTTCAATGCAAAAAGGACTAATTAAGTTTCTTAGTCTCTTTTGGATAAATTAAGTAGGATTTTTCTTATTATTCTAAATATAATGTCATAAGTTTGTTATTTTTCTCACTTCTACTAATGGATCTTTTTTCCTTTTAATAATGATAATAATAATAATAATAATAATAATAATAATAATAATAATAATAATAATAATTATTATTATTATTATTATTATTATTATTATTATTATTATTATTATTATTATTATTATTATTATTATTATTATTATTATTNATTATTATTATTATTATTATTATTATTATTATTATTATTATTATTATTATTATTATTATTATTATTATTATTATTATTATTATTATTATAGATCAAATAACTAAGTTCTTTCCTTTCTTCTAAATTGTTTTTCTATATGAAGTGTAAAATGTTTATAATTGTTAATTGAATAGTTATTATTTTATTTAATACTTAAATGCTAAAATTTATTGCTTATAAGTTTCTAGTTTATGAATATGTGTACTCTCTATCATTTTAATTTAGCATTTATATATTATTTTCATGATTTTACAAACTTTAATTAATTAGGCTTGGGCCATTATGCCTTAACTACGCCTTTAACCTTTTAAAACCTTGGTAAGACACCTATCTACTGTCCCCATGTGCGGAGCTGTTTGGACGCTGCAAACGGTGGAAGAGGGGAAGAGAGAGTCAATTTGGAGTCTGAATTTGTTACCCACGAGAACCCTGCTCACGTTTGGAGAACATCTCATCTCTGCATATTATTATGCAGGGGGAGATGTGTAAAAAATAGCATAGGTCCTAATTTGTCTTTTCAACTAAAAAATTATTGAGTTAAATACTATTTTGCCCACACTCATTCACAGCAGGCTCTCAAAACAGCCAGACAGCTTGTCAGCGGTGAGCATTTCTCTGAAGAACCTACAATGTCGGGAACGAGCATCAAGCTTTTACCTTGACGCATTTAATGGCGGGGAGGTTCTTCCATCATCGTACAACTCGTCTTCGACGAATTCTAGTGTATTTTCGCTGGCACCATTTCTCTGAAGAACCTACAAAAACGAAACAGAAATGAAAACACGAAAAAGAAAAAGAATCGATCGAAGGGGAGAGGGATAAAGAACACAGAAATTGAATCAATCGAGCAATACTGTGGCCATTTGCAATTCCGTCCCACACAGAGGACCAGGAGATTACAATTCCGTGTTTTCGTTCTGCCGTATGCTTCCCTCCGAGAATCGCAGACACAGACACGAGGGATCATCTTTCCGTCAATGACGGCAGCAACGTAGAACCCATATTGGTGTTCGGAGCTGTAGGCGACGAACTTGGAAACTCACCGGTGGCCTTTCTTCTTAGATTTCAGTTGTCTTTAACTTGCTGCTTCACTGCCGAATCAATATGTAGATTTGAGACCATCTTCTCAGGTATTACTTTGGTGGTGATCCAAGGACAGAGACGATGTAAAGCTGTTTGAAACAATGTTCCGGCTTTCCTCCTTGGATTCATCTCTCTGTCAGTGATACTCCTTCCTAGTCGTTCCTTTGGAAACTCTGCTCAATTTGTTTTACGGTCCTTACATCAGACTTCTTTAACTCAATCATCGGGTATCGGTGGCTTTAGAATCGTGAATCTATCAATCTGTCTTTTGGAATTTTGATTGTAAATCATTTAGTACAAGAATCTAACAGTTTCTTAATTTCACAATTCTGCTTCTGTATCCAACTTAGTAGAAGAATCTAGCAGTTTCTTGACAGCTTCAGAAAGAAAAATCAATAATGAAACCAAAATGAAAAATTCGATGGCTTAATCTCTTAGACTTGGGATCCTTCAATCCGGTTGCCTCCTGTTCTTTAATTCTTTTGTCAGTGATTTAAAATTAGCCCAGTTAAACAGCTGCCCATAAAAGAAATTAGATCAGAGCTAAAAAGTAGATGAATATTTGAGAATGATGGATAAACTTTTGATTAATTTGAAAAAGGGCCACTCCTCCTCCTCCTACTACTACATATAATTCACACTTTTTCTGCATCGATTTAAACAATTTACATCACAAGCACCAAGTTCAGCAAATCCACACTGAAATGGGGAGGACCGTCCCATGGTCCAGAACTCTTTTTTCTTTCTTGCTCACTTGCCGGGGACGAAGTTTGTGGCGTAGGCCCAAGCGTTGTTGTTAACAGGGTCGGCCAGGTGGTCAGCCAGGTTCTCCAAGGGTCCCTTGCCAGTCACAATGGCCTGAACAAAGAATCCAAACATGGAGAACATGGCCAGTCTTCCATTCTTGATCTCCTTCACCTTAAGCTCAGCAAAAGCCTCTGGGTCATCAGCAAGGCCAAGTGGATCGAAGCTGCCGCCGGGGTAGAGTGGGTCTGTCACCTCACCAAGAGGCCCGCCGGCGACACGGTAGCCCTCGACGGCACCCATCAAGATAACTTGAGTAGCCCAGATGGCCAGAATGCTCTGGGCGTGAATCAAGCTTGGGTTGCCCAAGTAGTCCAATCCACCCTCGCTGAAGATCTGTGCGCCAGCCTTGAACCACACGGCCTCGCCGAACTTGACACCATTCCGAGCGAGCAGCTCGGGGAAGACACACCCAAGAGCTCCAAGCATGGCCCATCTGCAGTGGATGACCTCGAGCTCACGGTTCTTGGCGAAGGTCTCAGGGTCAGCGGACAGCCCAGCAGTGTCCCAGCCGTAGTCACCAGGGAATTCACCAGTGAGGTAGGAGGGAGGCTCACCGGAGAAGGGACCCAAGTACTTGACTCTGTCTGGTCCATACCATGGGCTACCGGATGAGACGGGCTTCGGCTTGGCCACAGTCTTTCTCATGGTGATCCTGCCTTCACCGAGAAGCTCCGACGCAGAGGGAGCGAGCTTCACGGCCTTTCCGGCCAAAGAGGGAGAGGAGAGAGCCATTGTAGATGCAGCCATGGTAAAAGAGCAGAGTGAGAAGAGGAATGAATTAGTGTGAAGATGAAGAACAGAGAGAGATGGGTGTCTGTGGCTGCTGTTCTTAGATTTGTATTAATAGCAATAGAGAGCCAACTGGTCCTTATCTTTGGAGATCTGTTCTTTCCTTCTCATTGGTTGATACTATCATGAATCTAGATTTTGGTTGCTCACTTGGCACTCTGGAGGCCACCAATCAATCCCGAATACTTGTCAAATGAGTCCTGCCACTCTCCAGGTCCTACCCATTTGCTGTGCATATCAAGAATCTCCTTTCATGGCTATGAGGCTCTTGTGTCAACCAATTGGCTTATGCCAACTGCCCTATCGGATTAAACAATATCTTTTTTCGATAAATTATACCCTACTTTCAGGACCACCAAGAAGGTAAGTGCCTACATACATTACCCATCCTCTTTCAATCAGGACTGTTCAGTGGGTGGACCAGACTCTCACAGTGATTGATTGGATTCTTTGAGCACTTATAACCTTTTGATTATTTGCAACGGTAAAAGTGAAGAAGGTTGGTCTCTGTCCTGTTCTTGGAAGGGAATGTGAAGAAATTGTCTAATATCTATCGTTTATCATTTTTCCACCTGTCAGCATCCATGTCCATTTATTTCTTATCTATATAATCTATACATCCGCTCTTTATATATGGTAAGTAGTACATATCAGCCTGTTTTATTTATAATTAAACCAGAGAGGAATATTAGTAGAGGGTAGTGGGACTGGTCATTTCTATCTGGCTGGACCGGAGTTGGTAAGATGGTGGGGATGTCCTCAGCCTCAGAAAATGGTCTGGTTCAGGTCAGCTGTTTAACCCCAGGTTCAGGAGGAATATGCATTGGTTGAGGGTTTATTGTCGCTTTATCTCTATATATCATGGTTTTCAAAACCGGGAACTGGTCAGGTGATCGATTCCAGTTTTCCTCAAAACCGGATTTTTTCTAAAAAAAAACATTGATTTGGTCAGAAAACCGCTAACCCAGGCATTCAAATCGTTCGACAGTTTTGATCGATTTTTATTTTTTTTACTTTTTTGTCAGAACGAACCGTCCGTTTGATTCGAACAGTCGGACCATTCAACCCGGAAACCAGACCCCTAACCGGCTCATTGTCGAGGTCGGCTTGCTATATATAACACTAAAATTGCATTTCACGTGTATCAATACTTTGAAGTTTGAAGTTTGAACCATGCGTTTAATTGCTTGGTTTGAAAAGCTTGATGTTCAAGGTTTCATGTTCTAATCTAATTAGGAGGCATGTTGATTTAGGATAATGTGCTATTCTTGCTCAGTGTTTTCAAAACCGGATTGGATTAAACGATCAGATCAAAAAAATGGGGAACTGGTATTTCACCCCAAAACCATTTTTAGCTAAAAACAGTTAATTTAGTCAATGAGCTATTAACCCGGACAATGATTTTTGACCTTTTTTTTTGTTTTATTTTTTTTAGTCAGAACAGATCATCTGTTTAGACTGGACGACCGGACCATTCGACCTGGGAATGGTTCCCTAGAACCAAGTTTTTATTTTAATTTTTTTAAAACATCATGACTGATCATTTGGACTGGATTGAGCCATTCACACAAAAACCGGTAACCAAATTCCATGTCGGCTTTTAAAACATGGTGTTCATATATGGGTTTTAAATTATTTTAATGAAATAAAAATATATCATTAAATTCAATTAAAATTATACTTTGTGTCACCTGTAAAAGGGTGATGAAGGATGCGAGAATGGTGGTGTCAATTGTTGGGACAAGAAGGGCATGTATATGATAAAAGGGTGATGAAGACTAGAGAGAGATCTTGTGGGAAAAAAATATTCTCATACAACTTGACTAGTGAAGAAAGATACGACGAGGAAAATCATCCACAATAGTAAAATAAAATAATTAGATCTGAATTGTGGATGACCATAGCCAAATCAAACGGCTATGATAGATCACTGTATTAGATAGATGACCATAGAAGCTGCCACATATGGATGTGAAATTGTGGATCCCACACACAAACGTACACCCTAATAACAAGTAATGAAACGTGGGGTTTCAATCTTACCTCTCAGAAGTTATCTCTGCCAGTTGGGATTTCTCAACGGGAAGGCAGGAGAAATTATCTGAGCAACTGGTGGTTCATGGAGTGCCAACTGGGAAGATATTCCAAAAAATCTTGGATCCCAGATTCAGAATTCTCCAATGGGAAGAGAGAAATGGATACCAAAAGGATAAGACACTTGGCGGTTGGCTATCTCCATTCTTATTAATACCAACCTCTTTGACAACACTCTCCCACCACTCTCTTCTTGCATACATTTCCTACTTATCAGAGGCAATCTCCCTTTCTCTGCAATGGCTGCCTCTACAATGGCTCTCTCCTCCCCTTCTTTGGCCGGAAAGGCCGTGAAGCTCTCTCCCTCTGCGTCGGAGCTTCTCGGTGAAGGCAGGGTCACCATGAGAAAGACTGTGGCCAAGCCAAAGCCCGTCTCATCCGGTAGCCCATGGTATGGACCAGACAGAGTCAAGTACCTGGGACCATTCTCCGGTGAGCCTCCCTCCTACCTCACTGGTGAATTCCCTGGTGACTA